GTTGTGGTCTAGTGCCTGGGGATCTTGAGCCCGGTCCAGGGCTGGGAATGTGACTGAAGGCTTTCCTCCAGCCCTGCCTCAGCTGGGCTCCTTGCACAGACGGAGACGGCGATCCTGAGAGCAGGGCTGGAGTTTGTCCTCTGAGGAATCCTGGGAACTTCACTTAGAGAGGACACTGTCCCAGGGCCCACTGCCCCCTCACCCCAGCAGCTGCCGAATGCACTGAGCCCAGGAGCGAGGCTGCCGCTGTCCACCTCTCCCCTCAAGCCCTGGCCCCCATCCCAGTCACAACAGCCTTTGGCCCAGTGCTCAGTGCTCTTCCCTCAGCAGCAGCTTCTGGTTCCGGAACACAGGGCTGAGCTCAGCTTTTTTTTTTAATGGATTGATTTTTAGAGAGAGAGCGCAAGAGAAAGAAACATCAGCTTGTTGCTCCACTTATTGATACAGTCAAGGTTGTTTCTTGTATGTGCCCTGACTGGGGATTTAACCCACAACCCTGGCATGTTGGGATGATGCTCTATCCCACTGAGCTACCCGGCAAGGGCTGAGCTCAGCTGTGATCATGTCCTCATAAGTAGGTTACAGAGTTTCTCTTTGTGGTGATAAAAAAAGTTTCGGGCCTGGCTGGCGTGGCTCAGTGGTTGAGCGTTGACCTATGAACTAGGAGGCCACAGTTCGATTGCCAGTCAGGGTACATGCCCGGGTTGTGGGCTCGATACTCAGTGTAGGGCATGCAGGAGGCTGCCAATCAATGATTCTCTCTCATCGATGTTTCTCTCTCTCCCTCTCCCTTCCTCTCTCAAATCAATTAAATATATATATATATAGAAATGTTTGGAAATGGTGGTGATGGTTGCACAAAATTGTGAATGTAATTAATGCCACTGGATTGTACACTTAAAAGTGGCCAATTTTATGTTATAGAAATTTTACCAAAATACTTTTTAAAATGAAAAGAAAAAAAAAAAGCCCGTTCTGGATGGGTGCCTGATATACCAAGGTTGGAGGTTCGATACCCGGTCAGAGCATATACAAGAGGCAACCAGTGAATGCATAAATAAGTGGAACAACAAATTGATGTTTCTCTCTCTCTCTCTATCTCTCAAAATCAATTTAAAGAAATAATACAAAAAAACAATAAATCCAGGAATGGGAGGACTGAAGGGAGAGCAGGCTTGTCCTGTGGGGTTTGGGGACATAACCTGGGGCCGACGGAGGCCACATTGAGTTCTGGATGTAGGTCCCCGGTCCAGCCCTTATTTGCTCTATGATGTCGGTAATTTAACTCCTCTGAGGACACCATGCTGTTCTCACACAGCTGGCTCTCCTGGAACTTGTTATTAAATGGTGTGAAACTCTGCTCTGGGTGGTTTGGCTCAGTGGATAGAGCGTCAGCCTGCAGACTGAAGGGTCCCAGGTTCAAAATTTGGTCAAGGGCACATGCCTGGGTTGCGGGCTTGATCCCCAGTGGTGGGGGCCGTGCAGGAGGCAGCTGACCAATGATTCCCTCTCATCATTGATGTTTCTATCTCTCTCTCCCTCTCCATTCCTCTCTGAAATCAATAAAAATGTAAAAAAAAAATAATAAAAATAAATGGTGTGAAACTCTGTAAAACACAGAATAAGAAAGAAGGAAAGAAAGAAACCTAACAGTAGTACCTTTTCCTGCTTTACTCTGAGGATGCCTGAAATTCCACCGTAAGGCTTGGAATTAAGGATTGGAAAGGGGGAAACGAAAGGCGCCTCTCCATCTCTGGCTCCTTGGCCTGAGGGAGATGCTCCATTTTCCCAGGGGTTGGCATCCGGGGAGGGGGCTGTGGGACTCAAGGTCCAAGAAGAGGGCAGCTCAGTGGGACACGGACCCTGGAGGGCTGGGGTGTCCAGGAACCCCCGCCAGCCTCAGTTTTGCCCTGGTGTTTAGTAGCTGAGCAGTGGTGTCCTCGGCCTGTCCCCTCATTGCCCCCTACGTCCCTCCTCCCCCACCCTTCATACCTTAGAATGCCTTTCCCATCTTTCTCCTGGGAGATTTATTTCTGTCCCTTTTTTCATCTGAGCAGCGGAAATGAATCATCCTCCGGCCCGTTTGGTAAACAGTCCCGTGCCCTCTGACCCGCGGGGCTCTCACTGCTTCCTCTGGAGCTGCTCCTGGGCTAGACACTCACCCCCAGACCCCCTGTCAGGACTCTCCTTTCCCAGGGCCTGGAGCTTGACTTCCCCCACCCTCAGGAAGATGAGAAATGACACACAGCATTCCAGATGCCGATCTCACGAGCGGACCAGAGGGGCAGGGAAGCAGGGAGCCACCATGTTCTGAGGGCTTTGTGTGCCCTGTCCTGGCACATCTGGATGACCCTCTGCAGCAGATCTTGGAATCCTCATTTGACAGGTTCGGAGTCTGAGGCTCAGAAAAGTGAAGGCACTTGCCCAGGGCCACACAGTGAGTGGTGGAGCCCAGACTCAAAAGCCTGGATTCCTCCCATTGCACCGACTGGCATGTGTACGCATGTGTGTCAGCTACCACATCAGTTGCTAAGCCACATGTGGACGGCAGGTGGGTGTCCACCTACAGGGGAGATGGCAAGGGTGTGCAGTGTGTGTCTTACCAGACAGAAGCCCGTGGGTCCCTGAGGATGATGTCAAAGAGTGACAGGATGTGGGAGGGGAACAGGGATTAATAAAAAGCCCACATTCAAGGCCACCTAGGCCCTGCCCACACTTCACAAATACAGCTGTTCAGGGGGCCCTGGCCCAGTAGCTCAGTTAGTTGGAGCCTCCTCCAGATGCGCCAGGGTGGTGGGTTTGATCCTGAGTCAGGGTACGTGTGGGAGACAACCCATCGGTGTTCCTCTTCTCTCTCTCTCCCTCTCCCTTTCCCTCTCCTCTCTCCCCTCCCCTCTTCTCTTCCTCTTCTCTTCTCTTCTCTTCTCTTCTCTTCTCTTCTCTTCTCTTCTCTTCTCTTCTCTTCTCTTCTCTTCTCTTCTCTTCTCTTCTCTTCTCTTCTCTTCTCTTCTCTTCTCTTCTCTTCTCTTCTCTTCTCTCTCTCTCTCCTTATCTCTCAATCATTAAAAACTCACACCATACTTCAGGCGTGTCCACGTTGGTGAAACCACACTTCCTGGTGATCATGCAACTATTTATTAGACTTCTAAAAATAGTATGCAGGTACTATTTCCAGGAGCTGTGTGAGATGCAGAAATAAAACTACTGACAGCAGACTATCAGGCGCCGGTGAGTGTCAGAGAGAGGAGGGTTTACATAAATATATGAGTCACCGAGCAGACAGAAGGTGCTCGGGCCCAAAGGGATGGAAAAGCTCTAAAGCGGTGTTCTCGTTCTAGGAGGCCCCCCCGCCGGAGGGATTCCTCGAGGCCCTGAATCAGGGAGGGCTTCCTGAGGAGGTGGCCTTTGTAGGCCTCTAAAGCTCTAAGTCAGTGGTTCTCAACCTTCCTAATGCCGCGACCCTTTAATACAGTTCCTCATGTTGTGGTGACCCCCAATTTCATTGTTACAAATTGAACATAATTAAAGCATAGTGATTAATCACAAAAACAATATGTAATTATATCTGTGTTTTCCGATGGTCTTAGGCGACCCCTGTGAAAGGGTCGTTTGACCCCCAAAGGGGTGGCGACCCACAGGTTGAGAACCGCTGCAAGTAGATGTAAAGTCTGCATCTGCAGACGCTTTAACGGAAGTTAGATCCTGTTTGACTTTCCAAGGAGCCCGGAGACGGCACATGCCTTTATTTCCCTTCTCCGGAGGCGGGCACGGAGGCGCAGAGGAGTGGACTAGGCGGGCCGAGCTAGCAGGTGGCGGCCAGGATTTGATCTGGAGCCAGTGGGACTCCAAGCCTCGCGCTGGGCTCCCTCCTCGCCTGGTCCCGCCGCTTGATCAGCGGAGCCCGCGGAGCCCGCGGAACCCGGAGACACCGC